TTTTTTATGTGATTTATGATATTGGTAATGATGCTAGAAAAAGATTTTAAATGGCATAACTTGAATATTAAATATCATTTCTTCTTAACTTTAGCATGCATATTATAGCAGAGATGTGGTACTGAGGCTTCTTGAAAAGAAATATAAGTCTTTGGTAAGTCAGTACTTTTTATGTTCAAGAATAATATCATAGAAAGATTATATGATATACCTTTTTGAATATGCAAAGTCAAATGGGGATGATTAATATTAGCTAATGAAGCAATTCCCCTTTCATGTGACCTTAAACTACATTTTATGAAACATGAAAGAATAAAAGTAGAGACTTAAGAGGCAGTCAGGTTAACAATTAGGAAATATATAAGTACATATTAAAGTGGGCTGCTGTAAATAACAAGGTAGTGTGAGAGAAGCCATATTTCTAAGTATTACATGTAATTTGACTGAGGTCAGACATTGAGAAGGTAATTACTTCTATAAAATATAACTCTAATTTTGAGTAAAACTTGCAAGAAAAAACTCAAGAGTGAAAAATGCTTTTGTATTTTTAAAAATTGGTGAGTTATATCAAGTATAGATTTATACTCTAAAATATATTATAAAAATTTCTATATTTGTTGCTGTAGAACATTATATAAGGGCCCTGAAAGAGATGGAAAAAAATCAGCAAAATTAATAAATAAATAATAAATATGAAAAACATCAAATTTATTAAAATATTTGTTATACTAGTATAACTTTGGGTCAATAAATATGGTTTATGTAATTAGGTAGACAAAGGGAATATTACTAAAATTGTGGGTTTTGGGGTGAGTATAGTAGAGCATAGGATGAAAGGAGGAGAAAAATAATTGTTTTGTGTTTGAGAATTAAGAAAATTGGGTAGAAGTGAGGAATACTGTACAAATGGATAAGAATTTATTTGTACAAATAAAGGGTACTTAAGAAAAGAAAAATTGAACTGAAATAAAGCCTTTCTATCTTTCATTTTTCTCCCGTTCCTACTTAAATGAATTCTTTGTTGCCATGTGAGTATAGACTTCTGGTGCTAGAAGAGAGAAAGGGGAAAAGCCAAAGAACAGGACAATTCGTTGCCGCCCCTCCACCCCCCATGTATACATAGGAACACTGTTGCTATTACAGAGGCCCTAGTGCAAGCATTTAAAATGTTTCTTATAAATTGATTCTTACAATCTGTTTCTTTTTTGAAAAGTCAACCCTCTATCAGTCAATTTTTAGCCGGCAGGTAAAATTACTTTATTATAAACCACTTCAATATTTTATCAAATTAGTAAAAAATTTTGTTTTATGTTTGTAATGGATCAGACTTGTTAGAAGAGACTTCATTTTAAATTTCCTTTTTTTTCTAAAAAGCTTTTTAAAATTTATAAAACATCAAAAAAATTTTGTTAAGTAAATTTGGTCCTACTTTTGAAAAGAAGTAGAGAAAAATGAATACAAGATGCATTTATTTCCATTTTCTTTTCAGAGTTGAGATTTAATTGTGAATCTGTGGTGGAACTTTAGTCCACTCCTTTAGATTTATCTTTCTATTCTGTAAGAAATCCTTGCATTAGAATCTTAATCTGAGTAGCCTGTTCAGTGTAATGTTAATCTACTAAAGCTTCTCCTTTAGTTTCTCATTAGTACTGTCTGATGACATTTTCTTCAACAATGGAAAAATCTACATTTTTCAGCCACTAGTCTTATATGACTATAGAAAACTTAGAATATATCTAGGATAACTGAAACACTGAATTTTAAGTTTTATTTAATTTTAATTTAAATAGTCACATGTTTAGTGACCACTGTATTTGTGTAATTCTATCTGTATGTTTTTGACATTTTCAATAGGTAGCATTAGGGCATCAAACAATTTATGTATGTGCTGTTGGTTATTTATAGAAGTTAAGATACTGTTTGTTTTCATGGCATTGTACAGTCATGAACTAGTTAAAAAATATTTTGATTTTTAGTGTAAATATTTAATCTTTTGTTTTTAATAATTTGAATGATTGTTCAGATACCATTAAAGGAATGAGTTCTGAAATGGCTTCAGGTGGCACCATTTTTCTTATTCTCTGAAAGTTATAGGTGTTATAGAAGAGAAATGTTTAAGTGAAAAAATGGTTGAGAGGTTGTGGGTAATGTCAGCCAAAGATGATGGAAGTGTGAACTAAGGATATGCCCCTGAGAACTGGGATAAAAATGGATAGATCCATTACTGTTGTTAGAAGTAGGATTTGGAGGTCTTGATTTTTGAAGAGGGGATGGTGAGACCTCAAATAATTAAGTGATTAATGTCATTAAGTGAAGTAAGTAACATAGTAAAAGGAAAACATTGCTGGTAAAGTAATGGTTTTTTTGATTTGGTAGATTTGGTCAAATAGTGTTTGAAATGCAGATCTCCAGAAGACATGGCTCTGATCTCTGAAATTTGATTTAGACAAGATATATAGCTATGGGAGATGGTTCTGAGAAAACCCCCAGATTTGATGATTTTCTGGGAGGACTCAGGACTCAGTACATAGTTGTACTCTCAGCTATCATTTGTTACAGTGAAAGGATACAACATAAAATCAGCAAAGAGAAGAGGTAAATTTGGTGAAATCTGGAGGAAATGAAAGTGTAAGATTCTAACTGTTTTACCATGGAAACACATAGGATATGCTTAAGTCCTCCAGCATTGAATTGTGACAACTTGGATAAAATGTTATCTATTGGGAAGTTTGTTAGAGATTATTGAACAGTTTATTTTATTGGGGTCTGACTGTATAGGCACTTTCTGCCTAACACATATTTCACATGGTTACAAATAATGCAGATATTCAGCATAAACCACATTTTTTTTTTAAAAATTATTTTTTATAGTTTAGGTACAGTGAAAGCCCTCTGATCCATTCTTGGAATGATGGTGATAGGTAACAGAGAGATGTACATGGTGGAAACATGAGGTTAAGGGAATGATTCTATAAACTGGGTCCATTGTGCTGGCCTCCACATGCTTTTTTGTGGGGATTGAACTCAGGGGCCTTGACCACTGAGCCCTGTCCTCAGCCCTATTTTGTATTTTATTTTATTTTATTTTTTTAGAGAGAGGAGAGAGAGAAAGAGAGAGAGAGAATTTTAATATTTATTTATTTTTTTAGTTCTCGGCAGACACAACATCTTTGTTTTGCATGTGGTGCTGAGGATTGAACCTGGGCCGCACGCATGCCAGGCAATCCTGCTACCGCTTGAGCCACATCCCCAGCCCCCTATTTTGTATTTTATTTAGAGACATGGTCTCACTGAATTGCTTAGCACCTCACAGTTGCTGAGGCTGGCACAATCCTCCTGTCTCAGCCTCCTGGGCTGCTGGGATTACAAACATGTGCCACCGTGCCTGGCCACGTGCTTTTCTTTTAAAAAAACAAATTACTAGCAACCCTACCTAGCTTAAATTAACAAGATATATTACATTCTTCATCAAAGTACCCATTATTTGAAGTAGAAATACTGGTCTGAAAGGCTCCATCCTGCTAAGTTACCCTTAAGTGGGGGACTTTGGTGACCCTTATAGAGACTACATTTCAGAACTCACGGAGATAAGGATAATTCTCTTTAACTGTAAAATTTTTAAGAATAAGTTCCAATTAGAACCAATTAGCATTGGCCAAAGTGACCCATAGTTGCCTCAGACCATTACTGTGTACAGTGGTTTGAAAATATGGTGCAATCATGCTGTCAGTCAAAAGTCAAGTGGTTGGTGGGACTCTCGGAAAACTTCCCTAGACCCCCAATAAAACTAGAGGGCAGGGCTGGGGATGAAGCTCAGTTGGTAGAGTGCTTGCCTTGCATGCACAAAGCCCTGAGTTTAATCCCCAGCACCACAAAAATAAATAAATAGATAAAAACAAACAAAAAAACTGGAGGGCATGGGATGGGGGCACATATCCCTCACTCTGAGAAGACTCATTTTCTCCCTTGCCAGTGACCTGTTTCCCCCTTTTCCTATCTGTCTAATAAGCAGTCTGTTCTTTTAAGGTCTTGCTGGAATCTTCTCAAGCAAGAACACTAGAAGCCAGGGTAGAGACTTCACATCTGCCTGGCTTGGGCTTCACAGGCAGTTTTCTTCTGCAACAGTGGGAACTTCTAAACTCCAATTTTCCAGATGCTATCAGAGTCTAACCTTGAAATCAGTACTATCTAAAGACAGAAGTCCTGCCATGTTAACTTTTTTT